ATATATATATATATATATATATCATCTCTTTATTAAATAAGTTCTTTGTGAAAATTGCTCCTAGTGTTATTCAAGTTATGAGTAAATGTTAATTATTTTATTATTTTAGTTGTGGTGCGAGTCTCATACTACTACATCACTAAGATGGATGATGAGTGATACTCATTGTCCTGGTCATGTGAGACTTCAAGCTGTACTGAGAAATTCCAAAGAATTTAGCACTACGTGGAATTGTCCAGCAGGATCGACCATGAATCCATTGAGAAAGTGTCGTTTGTGGTAAAACTTGCGCCTTCGACAAAAACAATATTTGTTATTTAATATCGTTGATTAATCAAATGTTTATCATTTATCAGGCCAGTAGGTTCGCGTGCAAAACAATAATAATCTATTGTTAATTGAAATAATTAATTTTTCATCTCGTGAGAGTCACTAAATTTTGCAATAATGCAATATCACATAATAAATAAAATTTTTTATGCTCTCTCTATTTCAAATTTAAATAAGTGAAAATTAACATTTATATTTAGAGTTTTGTGCACGTGCTGCAATCGCTTTAATAATTATTGTTATTTATTCGTTATATAGTATATGAATTATTTCTATGTAATTCCATAAAGTTTTTCGCACTGATACGTTGAATACAATCTATCAAAAAATCTAAAAGTGGTTTAATAATGTTTATAATAAAAGAACTTTATTTCCGTAAAAAAATAATGGAAATATCGAAATAGAGAATATGAAAAAATAATTTATCAAAAACCTTAAGATTATAATTATCCCGAAAATAAGGACGTTCACCTGATCACAAGTCATTGACTAAGTCAGTGTTGTTTGTACGCAGTAATGTGTTTTTCTGGCGTTTTTGATTTCTTTCGTTGATGACTTTTCAACTTTTATTTTCATGGAATTGATGCGAAATTTTTCACTCGTAAGCTTCAATAAACTAAAACTAAAAGTAACTCACTGTATCTGATACTAACTGGCCAAAATATCGAGAACCAGATTTTGAATAATTAGTAATGTTTGCGATATAGTTTGTGATTTGTGATCGGAGTAAGCGTCCTTATTTTCGGGATAGTTAATTATGATCTTAAGATTTTTGATAAATTAGTTTTTCATATTCTCTATTTCATATTCTGTATACTCGTACATATATTCTCTATTTTCATATTCCCTATTTTTATAATAAGTTTTGGTTAATTTGATTTGTAATACGGATTTAAATATATATATTAAGTAAAATTATAAATTATTTAATTTTTACATACATGATTATGTAAAAACTTATAAAGATCGTATAATAGAAATATTTTAATAATTTTAAATAAGATATCATTAAAATATATTTTAACGTTTTTTAAAAATGTATCTAGACATTAATAGGGCATTTACGAGTATAGATAGACTCTTTTATAGAAATATGTTTACTTCCATGTTATCGTTAATGGTTTATGTGAATAATAACTCATGGAAAAAAATGTTTAAAAAAGTATAATATTATTACACTAGATATATATTTATGTAGATATATATTTATTTATAAAACATTTGTATAATAATGATCTGCATAATCATAAATTTAATATTTTATTTATTAGATTGGTAATCACAAAATAGTCAGTATCTACATTCTTCAATTATTTTCAGATTTGCCGAAATCACTTGATAAATATGAAAATTTATCTACAGATTGTCATTTAATAGTATCTCTAGTTGGTACCTAGGAAAAGAAAGACCTTCCCAATAACTTCAATTTAATCGAAGACATAAGTATCATCAAGAAAGTAACTGGTACAAGTTTTTAAACATTCTTCTTTTACATAGTTAAATTACATTCTTCTTCTACATGAAGTTAAGTGTCAATTAAAATAAACTATTATAAAAGAAAGAGCACAAGCAAACTTTCCGATCAAATTGATACTTCAGGGATAAGTCGTTGAGTAATCCTTCGTGTAATATATATTTCTACTAAGAGACTCCAGTAGTTTAATCAACGTCCATTACAAGATAAACATTCTAGTATACGTAACCACCATTGGAATCGATGGGTTGTACATATTCCTGCTTGTTGTTTGCGGCAGAAGAAACAATACATCCAGCACACGCGGTGGAGGGCTTATACGCTTGTTTGCTCGGTTGCACAACGGGCTTTACCTTAACGGGTTCAACCTTCAGCGCTGCATTATCAACCGTAACTGAGTCGCTGCTAGTCGAAGAGGGCACGGCGGGTTGAGGTTGCTGCGGTAAGAACGGTATTGAGGATATGGAGGATGGTATGAAAGGTATAGAAGGAAACTCGAAGTTCTCAAACGGATTCTGAATGCTATCCAGAGGACTTGAGAAAGTCGGAAGATTTCCAAATACGTTTTGGAACGCCAACTGGGGATTGTCGAAGAAGGTTTGTACTGGATTAGCCTTGGTATCCACCGTCACGTGATGAGCAACTGGATGAACAACTGGATGAGCAACTGGAACGCTGGTTTTTACGTAATGATGAACGGGGTATGGCACTGGACGAGGCACTACCACGGGATATGGACGATCCACGGGGACTTGAACAGGTTGGGGCACACGGACGTAGTAGGGTTTAGGAACTTCGACTGTATGCGGAACTGGAACGGGAACAGCGACATGCTTGGTCACCGGTACGTGATACGGTTGAGGTACTTGCACTTGCACATGGTGATCCACGGTTTTCAGGGGTATGCTGTTGTACGAGGAATACGAGGCGTAATTGGGGAAGGTGTTGAAAGCAGAAATTAAAGAGGACACACCTGAAACAGAAAAAGTTTTTCGTTTTCAAGTACTTATTTAATTCATCTTTTATATAAAGAATTTTATTTATATAATTAATTCTTTTTTTCTCCAAGGCGCATAACATAAAAAAATGAACTGCCAATTCTTTATCTAATATTCGAAAAACGCAAATCTTAACAACAATAAATTAATTGTAATTAAATTAGTAAATAAAATAATTATAATGAAACAGAATAATTTAGACTAATTTAAACAAATAAATTACTGATTAAATGTATTTCATACTTATTTATTTATTTTTGAACATTTTTTAAACTTTATTTTGGTTTTCTAAATTATGTAAATCTATTTTTTTCGCTAGACACAAAAAATGCAGAGTTTAAAGAAAAATAGATTTCTTTTTAATTGAAAGTAAAATGAATAAATACTGTGAGGTTAAAGAAATTGTTTCCAATTACATAACATAATAAATATTTATATGTTGAGCATACATTTTTGCATACATTTTCGATGAAAGACGAGCAAATCACTTAGACTGTAACAAGTCTTTTCATATATCATTTCAATATTAGTCGAGCGTTAAAATATTTCTACGTGACTCTCGTGTCGATCGACCTCAAATGACAAAAGGACCGTTATGAAAACTCGAAACCTTACAAATATCTTATGTAACTTAGTGTAAATGGTGTTTATCTTTTTACAAATCTAATGTAAATTTAGGAGAAGAGCCGTAAATTCTCAACGGGCGCAGCATAACTGAAGGAGATTGTAAATTCTTGGTAAATCAATCACTCACCTTGGGTCTCAGTAGGCAAATGAGAAGTCGTTGTCTTCACTTGCGGAGCGGTTTCCACATGCTTGTGAACAATCGCTGTTTGCTCTGGGATTGTTTTCTGCACATGCACGGTATCGAATTTCGGATGTTCCTGAACGGTCGTTTATGGAGAATTCGATATACGCATTAAAAAATTGTATGACGAAAGTATAGAATACTAATAATAAATACATATGTTGATAATCAGCATAATAAAAGCATAAAATCTAAATTTTGTTACATTGCCAAGAAATCAGAATTCAGCATAAAATTAAAAAGATATTCAAGAATAAGACAAAAATGAATACGTAGGATAGAAGATGATAATTGTACAGTTAACATAATGAATTAAGATTTTAAACAAATTAATTAACAAATTTGTGTAAAATTATGATTGTGGAGAGATGATATGATTGATGTATTATAAATTATACATACCTTTATAACAGCAGAGTTTTTGTCATCAACGGATCCAAGGAAGTTGGTGAGAATCTGCATAGAAAAGCAAATCCTAATTAATTTTGCAACGATTTATTAAATAATAAATTTTTATTATTTATACTGTACCTTTATTAATGAATTTTAATAGCTTTACTATAAGGAATAAAAAAAAATAATTTCATAATTTTTGCTCTTCTATTAGAATTATATTTATGGTAAATTCAACATGACTAAACAATTTTGATGAGTTTTTCGGTTACCTGAGTGGTATCGGGTATTCCGTAGGAGGTGGATGGCACGAGGATGGAGGGAGTTTTGTCAGCATCACTGGTCGCGAAGAAATCAGCTCCCAAAGGCTTGCCTGGTATATGGCTAGGCGGTCCGTAGGTTTGCTGAGGTTGTACCTGGAATGAATGGTCCTCTGTGTCGTCTGGAACCGTATAAGAACCTATGTAGCCGCCGGCGGCTTTCAAAATTTGTACCTCATTTTCGTGTTCGTGATGATGATCATGCTCAGTTCCGTATCGTGGATCGCCCGGCAGGATGTCCCTCTTTTGCTTATCGGCTGGTGCTGCTAGAGCTGCCGCGAAGCAGACCTGAAAATATGACATTTGTACATATCAGTAAAACAGAATTAAAAAATATAGTTTAGAAAATACAATACAGTATTTTATTGTCTGCATATATTACGTATAATATCAAATATGTATATTAATAAAATAGAATATGAAGTCTTTTTAGAGGTGTTTATTAATTGTTTACATTGTTTATATCATTCTTATTAACAAGCTGACGGAATTCTCTTCACTTATTGTTTATTCATTTATTATTTTGTAATTTGTTATGCAATTTTAAATCGGCCTTGGCAATTAAATTTAAATTTCATGAAATTGATACGAGATTCATGCATTTTAATTAATGAAAAAGTATCCGAATTTAGACTTCCATGTGTTGTCCACAACATTTATTCGCGCCATTAAATGAAATTTTTTATTTCTTGAAAGATCACAAAATGCAAATGTGCATATAATTGATAATTTGCGATAGAAGCGGGTCATAATTTATTTAATACATAATTAACAATTTCTTGTCTTAAAAAAATTACTATTTTCTCACATATAAGATATTTATTTTTTAATTCAGATTTATTATATTAATAAAAAGAAATGTATTTTTATTTTTTAATATGTAAATATTGTTATATTGTAAGTTACATTTTTAACTGATTTACTTAATTTGTTTGAATACATTATTAAGTATTATTAAAGTTAAAATATTTAAAAAACTTTTTTTTTTTACCTAAAAACCTTTGTAGTTTAATGATAATTTTTTGGTTATAATTCAAATGATTAACTTATAATAAAAATAATTAATTAAAAATATTGTGCAATACTATAGATTTTAGACGAAGCAACTTTACACTTATGTTCTTATGTTCTAAACTTATGTTTAAAACACTAAACTGATTTACTAATCTCAATTTATAAAATCAAATTGCAAACAGATTTCTTTTAAATTGAATTTTAATTAATAAAATGTTGTAGAGAGAGGGAGCCAGAATTACAATTTAAAAATAGTCAAAAAATCGCAAAGTTGTTTCATGAAAATTGATACCTATAATCGCAATTTTAGATCTAAGGGGATAGATGAAAATGAGTCTCTCTTACCACAAACGTGAGCAGGAAAAGCTTCATGTTAGCTGTATGATGTCAAGGCGATGAGTTGAACATCTGTCTGGAGACATTTCGATCTTTTATACTTCGGAGCCTTCCTCCCCCCAAAATCTTCCTCCGCATGTCGCAATCCGGTGGCATTGGCAGAACTAGATTTTTTAATTTACTCCACCAACTTCTCGCATATTAGCTCGCTTGTATTTTTTCACACTGCTTTCCGAAATTTCTGAATAAAATATTAACGCGGACATTTTAGTGACGGTTGTTCTCATCGTCCTTTGTCCTTTGTCAACCCGTCCCTAAGAAAGGCGCCCATCTTTCAACGAGCATTCGGTTAAAGCCAGCTTCATGAAAATGATCACGATAATTTATGCAAATGGATATACGTCAGTTCCACGCTTCGTGGATTTTTACAGTCCATTGGCCTTTCGCTTTTTCTTGTTTTTCTCCTTTTTCATTCTTTTTCTCTTTCTCTCGAGATATGGTTCAAATCACACTCGTACATCTCCAAATACTCAATATTATCACTCAAAGAAACGTGGGAGGCTTTTAAAGGCTGAGGAGCGAATATAAGCGGTCAATTTTCGTAAGGTTTAATGGACCGCATTGCATCTTGGTCGAACCGATTTCTAGCTTAATCCTTTAATTACAGCACTGATGTATTTTCCTTGTCGGATGTTAAAATACTCTCTCAACAGTTTCTGATATATTATGTAGGATTAAGTGATGATTAGCTTACTTCGTTATAAAACATTGAGATAAATTTACGTAATTAATCATTTCTTAAATAATCAGGGTTTATGTTCATTCTTATATATATTCTTAAAAATATTATTCTATCTATATTAAAAAATAATAACAATAATATTCTTGAGGCTCTCACGGGCACTTTCGACATAAAAACAAAAAACAAATTATGCGTTTCGCGGGTTATTTCCATGTCCAAATCTATTTTTGGAATGTCAACGTTTCAGCATTTTAAGAATGAATTTGGACACGGAGATAACTCGCAAACGCATAATTTCTGTAATAATAACGATGTTATAAAAATGAGAAAAAGTCAAAAGTTTGAAAAGAAAATAAAAAAAATTTATAATACGGAATATTTCATAGCAGGTATTAAATCGATAAAATTCAAACAAAAATAAATTTTTATTTAATATATTAAAATTCTGAAATTATTTATAAATCTACATAATAAATTAATATTATAGTAAAAACAA